TGCAGTTTTCCCAACATCGTTTATTGAAGACTATCCTTTCGCCATTGTGTATTATTGGCACCTTAGCTGAGGATTAGTTGACTGTACATGCTTGGGGTTATCTGTGAATTTCTATTCTGTTCCATTGGTCCGTGTCTCTCTACATGCCAGTATTTCACTGGTGAATTCTACTCTGGAAAAAAAAATTTTTTTTAAAGACTAGTCAAGTGTAGTAGTGAGAAGGGGGAAAAGAGTAGAACAAGGAGTTTGAACTGTAACTGACTGCAAACAATCAATTGAGATAACTCACTATCTTTGGACCAGCCTGGAAATATGTAAATACAAGAACTCTCTGATCACTGGACATTTGAAAACATTCACCAGGAAACTCAAAGATGATGCTTCTCTGCAAATGCTCTCTGAATATGTGTTAATTTTATCCACGATTAAGGTTTTCCAGTTTCTTGGGTAAATTTTACATTTCTATTCCTGAGGAATCATTTGGGTCAAAAAGAATTTTGAATTCATTGGCATAGAGAAGACTTTCATTTAATTTTGTCTGTGGCTATTTCTCTTTTCTCATCCAACTCTTCTCTTTCATAAGAATAGAGATTTATCTGTAACTTTCCCCCACAGCGCTTGAGTTTTGGATAAACTTTATTTTTTCTGTTCGCTAATTCCAACCTGCTCTCCATAAATCTACTTACATTTTTTCTGGTTTCCTGAGTTGAATTCTTAAAACGTTTGTCCTTTTTAAAACTATTGGTGGATTCGGTTTCCCAGTCTTTCCCGTCACCGTCCTCACAAGACGTCTTCACGCAGCTCGCGGGGCGGCGATAGCATCGCCAGCGTCTGCAGGCGGCCGGCGTGCGGGGACGCAGGACGCCAACGCCCTGCGGGGCATGCTGGGAGGTGTAGTTTGGTGGCGCCTTCCTCTCGCGCAGGCTCAGGCACACAGCCCGAGCTTTTGGAGGCAGCTTTCTCACTCTTTGTCCTCCGCTGCGACGTGAGAGGTGATCGTGGGCGCGCCTCGCGTGTCAGGGCGCGCGCCCACGCCCGCGCGGACTCCATTCCCGCTGCGGCTCCTGGGACTCGTCGGGTCGCCCGCCTC